AGTCTGCTGTCTGTGGACACGGTGACCAAGATGTAGACCTAATGAAGTTAGAGTAGTTATATAAATTATGTTTGTTAAAATACTTATTTGTGTATTCCTGCTAATGCTGCATGTGCACACTAGTTAGGGTGAATATTAATATAAGTATTTATTTGTAGTACTACTTATTGGTACTTGTTGGCAGTACTGTGTACTGGCCGAAACATATTTTATTGTACCCGTGTATATTGTAGCCTACACGTGGTGTTGTCATGAATGTAACTTTTCCTTTACATTTGTTTTAGGGCTACAGTTTGGTTTTTTTGTTTTGGTCTGTCTTCAGTATTTTCTCTCGTCGTACTACTGTGTTATGCATCGCCGTCATGGCTCGATGCTGTGAATAAAGGAATACTTGACAACAACTGTCGGTGTCAGTGTGTTCTTAATCTCAGGGTCAGCCCGTCTTAACCACAACACCTCAGTGGGTAAAAGCATCCCCACTGAGTGAGGGTTACAATATATATATATATATATATATATATATATATATATATATATATATATATATATATATATATATATATATATATATATACACTAGCCGTCCCAGGCCCTGCACTGGCATCTCTGAAAAACTATCTGCAAAGGACCATGACTTGTGTGTTTAGTAATCAGCATATACCCAGCATTGCCCACCCTAACCACAACCAACCAAAACACAAAAAACCGCAAACATAACACAAACACAAATACAAACGAAAACGCAAAAGACAAACCCAACCACACAAAAAGAAAACACAAACACTAACGCAAACAAAAAAGGAAACAAAATCAAACCCAAATCCAAATGCAAACACAAACCCAACACAACCAAACAAAACCAAAACACATAAAAAAACAACGCAAACATAACACAAATACAAATACAAACGAATGCACAAAAACAAACGCAAACACAAACAAAACCACAACCACCAAGAAAAAAACGCAAACGAAAAAGCAAACGAAAACAAAACCCAAATCCAAACGCAAACACAAACCCACCCACAAACGCAAACTAAACACAAAGAAAACACAAACGCAAAGTGCTAACAGTCTAGCTCAGGGCGCCAAATCGCCAAATCATTGATACTTTTTAAAAAAATTTTATGTAATGTTCATATTGAAAACTATTATTTTAAGTACGCAAAATAAAAATTGTTTTAAAACACTTTCAATATTAATTTTTTAACTCATAAATTTAGACCATGAGTACTTTAATAATCTAACAGTTGAATCCATAGAAGTTTCGTTTTTTCTTATATTCCTTTGTAATACACGACAAACATTTTACAAACATACATACAGAATTGAACTTTATATATATATATATATATATATATATATATATATATATATATATATATATATATATATATCAGAGGCGTAGTGACCCTTCCCGGAGTCCGGGGACAAACTTTCGATTTGCACCCCCCCCCCCCCCTCAAACTTTCGATTTGCACCCCCCCCCTTAAACTTTCCATTTTAATATTCCAAAGGGCCGTCAGACCATGAGACAGACATAGCAGATTGCTGTCAAAAGAAAAAAAATGTAAATCCATGTTAGTTTCTATATATGGGCTACAACTGTATGTGACAGCCTCCTCCTTGATGACAATCATCAAAGAACAAAATCAAAGACAGTCGGCGTCACCGACCATTTGCAACAAGACGGAATGTTCAAAAGACTTTCCTTGTTAGTTGAACAATAGTGTCCAAGCGACTTGAGATGGCGCAAGCGTCAGAAACCATATTTCCCCAACAAAAGGGGAATACCAAATAAAGCAGACCCATCAACACGCCTTGACTGGACTGCATGATAAATACCGACAGAATTTCCTTGCATTCCAGATTTCTTGAGAATATTGAACAAGAAATGGAGGCTGCCATAAATGCAACGACATCCTCAGCTAACACATCTACTGCCGTGGCGGAACGTCCAGACCAGTTGCGTGGCAATAATGTGGCCAACAGATTCTGTATAGTTTGTGAAAAACATTGTAGTGCAGCTCATTCTTGTGGATCCTGTGGCAACGATGTCCATGCTATTTGTGGAATACCCAATGAAGCAGACGAAGGGTACGGAGGAAATATTACCTGCGGATTGTGTCACAACAAACTAGACATCACGGAACCCAGGTCAGCAGCTCATACTAGTTAGCAAACTCAAGGTGCTAAGATGCTTAAAACATCAAATACAAAATTTAAAGATGCTGAAGTGGGTGACAATGTATGCATCCGTGTTCCAGATGTTGACAAGAGGTCATGAGCGTCGAGGGCGGTTTCTACAAATTAGGAACGGAACATGGTGCTAGAAGTGAGTTTTCAATTCTTCACGAAAAACTGCTTTTATTGTCGTCAGTTGGCACGGAGGAAAAATCACTACGAACCATCGCATCTTCACAATCATTTACTGGGGGCCAAGGCTACACTCGCTGCAATTGCACAACCAAGCACTGCAAGTGCAAAAATAACAAGCTACTATGTAATTCTAAATGCCATAAAAGTTCAAATTGTTGTAACAAATGATAAATTGATTGATTGAGACTATAGTACAATAAAAAAATTTGAATGTTTCTGTCATTTACTTTAATTAATAATCAATAAAGACTTAATTTCATGATCCTTACGGCATAAAAAAAGCCCAAATCTGCTCACGATCTTCTAATTCGGACTTTGGCCGGTCGTCCCTAGCTAGAGGATCTTCTAATTAATCCGCGGATTAAAAGTTTCGGACTTTGGCCGACCAATGGGAGACGATATTGGCCAATGCGCGGATGCGACCTTGATGTCGTCGTGGAATGAACTTTATAACTGCATGACACATAGTCCTGGGTATAACACACACACACACATACATATATATATATATATATATATATATATATATATATATATATATATATATATATATATATATATATATACTAGCGTATCCGTTGCCGCGGGAATAGGGGAGTAGAAGAAAGTCCGAAGAAATATATAAGGGTTTCATCCATGCGTTACCAATCCTATATTTCTTAGGCTCCTGACCTTGTTTTCTAAAAGTGAGTAATTTAAATCAATTTAAATGTAAACAATGCCTGCGCTTGGATCATAAATATCGGGACACGGGTTTACCTACACTACCGCATGAAAACCTTGAGTGTATATTAATCACTCACTGAAATAATGAGGTAGAACACACTATGGTGACCACCCATGTGTCAGGGACGTGGAGGGGAGCTCTAAGGAGCCCCCCCCCCTCCCGATTACATTACCGCATAGGTGTCGCGTACGGCCCTGGCTCCTTAAAACTAACAGGCGCCATCGTGCTCAGAGGATAACCCAGAATGCCAAAGAGCATCCTGTTAAAAATGATGCAGATTGCGTCATTCGCTAAAGTGACACAAATGAACAGGATTTTTTCTTTAAAACGTACACAAATTATTTGACGTATTTTAAACATTAGTGTGACTGATGCAAAATATTAGCGTTACCAATGGTCTATTATTAGATGCTCGATCTCAATTTCTGTTTAGATTGTCTAAAAATAGATGCTAATTGCATCATTCGCAAAGTGACGAAACTGTTAGGTTTTTTTTACTGACAAAAAGAAACATCCCAGTTAATAATCTAACCGTGGTTAATTTTTCTGATTATTAAATAAAACGTATTTAATTTACATGGCCCTCAGCGGCCCATGTGAGCCTTTGGGGGCCGAAACTGAAATTTTTGTTTGCAGCCAAATCACACCCTACCAGGGCGCTGGCGGACACGCCTAATTCAATTTAGTTTGTAACGCCCCATCCTACCCATTGTCTATCACACTGTTCAGACCGAACGTAGTCGCCATAGAGCTCACCGGAAAGACCAGGGCGCCAAATCGCATCCTGCCGGGGGGGGGGGGGGGGCACCCCCATGCAAAATTAAATCCCCCTCCCACCACCGTCGCCGATACTTTTTCTGTGTGCGGAAATTTCTGTTTGCACTTTTTTCCGTTGTGCATCTTTCTGGGAACCAGGTCTAGCTTTTTGTGACAAAGTGTGATGTGTCTGGACAATCCCATAAATATTTATTATTCAAATGTGTTAAAGTTAGACAAGCCCCCCCCCCTTTTCAGAAACAAATGTCTGAAAGAAATCCTGGGAAAGCGGGGTCCTGATACATAAAACATGGGCAATATTCTCTCTGATACATGGGCAATATCATTCTCTATTCTCAGCTTCGACCCAGACGTTGTGCTTGTGGATTGCCAAATTTGGTGCTGTGTTTAGGCCTACACCTTCACCATTGTATTGCAAGTGTTGGGTTTGTTGACATGTATGTTATTGTAGAGAATGAACCAGAATAACAAGGGATGCGACTGGTTGAGTGAATGTCTAGAGCGGAAGTAAGGTGTGTAATTATGGTGAATGTGGGGTGGCTGTTGGAGGTTTCCATTGGAATGAGGAGGAAGTAAAGTGTTGACTGGGAAGAGAGAAACAGACGATATTAAATGGACTTGATGCACTCTAACCGCAACAACGTACATTGTCTTGATTATTTTCATCAAATGTGACGGTCTTGTTTAATGTAAAAACCAATGGACATTTTTTGCCCTTCTAAAGTCAAAACATTGACATAATAATCATACGTCCAAGACATGTATGACATATGAGCACCAATTAAACACACTTAATAAATGTGCGCTAGTACAAATTAGTTGTTAATAAAACTATCTTCAATTAATTAAAAAATAAAATATCTATTATAATTGTGTAAAAGCTTGTCACCACTCCCTGTCAAAAAAATTCTTAGGATAAGTTTTTTGTCATTTGTATTTTTATAGAAATGCCAATCATAAGCTGCTGCAAATTTAATGACCCCAGTTGCGTGCGCGAGATCATTTTCCATCAATTGAATTAAAATTGATACCCTAATATGTAGTTAACAATACAAGAAAATCAATTAATGGATAATTATAAATCAATGACTAACAAGTATAGAGGCGCAACATCAAATAACTTTGAACATCTGTTTATTGGAATGAGAAAGCAATCATGAACCAGCAGCAGACGTTTATCTACAGTTACAACACTCATCAAATACACATGAAAATCTGGGTTAGCTATTATACATTTATACAAATAGATTTATGGGCAATAAGTAAAATATCAATTTGCAACCCAAAGAGCAGAGGAAACACATTGCATCAAAAAATGGGTTAGGATATCTAAGTCACTGAGTTGAATGTAACTCTAGGGACAGGTTTATGTCATCTTATCTACCTACTCCAGCCTTGGGTTCTGTCCACTGGCTTACAAAATGCTAAATTGTTGCATACTTATGACTTGGGTCTCTGTACTATTAATGACCAGTTGAAATAAGCACACAAAAAACTTCTTATACATATGTTTAGCCCAGTATTCTGGGCAAGGCAATAAATAAAACGACCACAATAATTGAAACCAACTATGCAAAATTATTACTACAGTATCTCTAGATCTGAAATAAAAAAAAAATCATTAGAGAATGCTACTCATAGAGTTCTTGGTTTTCTATGGATAAATAGTTCACATTCATAAATTACTTTTACATTCATAAAGGTAAGTCTCTTTTACCAAATCAAAAAGAAACTAATAATCCACAGCCATCTTTTAAAACCCATGTGGAACAACTAGTCAAACAATATATCAGGATCTCTGAAGTCATCAAAGATGGTTGGAGCCTCTTCACTGACAAGAACCTGATCACCTCCTGCAGATTTGGCGGCCAGCCGCGCCTGTTTTTCTTTCTCTTCTAATGCTTTGATTTTCTTCTTCTTTTCCTGGACTTTCTTTAACCTGGAGGTAGAGTTTTCACACATTTTCTTTCATGTGCACATTTCAATTTTGTTAACTTTGTAGAGATGCAGTATGTTTTTAACATGGAAGCTAAAATATGAAGTGTAGTATTCTTTGTGTGCAATTTATTTAACTACTTGTGATGAAAGACAATACAATTCTGACTCAATCAACCCCGAAACCTTGTTGTGACTACTTTTTTTTACAATTAAAACTGTTTACAGTCCATTTGTGCCCTGTTTAAAAATAAGATTGCATATTTCTCAATTAAAACTGTTTACAGTCCATTTGTGCCCTGTATAAATAAGATTGCATATTTCTCAATGAAAACTGTTTACAGTCCATTTGTGCCCTGTATAAATAAGATTGCATATTTCTCACCTAAAGAATTCCTCCCTGTCTCTTTCATCTAGCTCAGATGTAATATAGGCCAAAGTCCTTTCAATTTTGGGGATTATAACTAGGACCAATAAAACAGAGTAAGTTGGGTTAGGCACAGGAATTTGTTTTTGTTATAGCAACAATGACATGTCAGAAACAAACTTTTTAGAAAGAAAAAATAACGTACCATGTTCAATAGCAACAATGCCAGAAAAAAACTTTTTAGAAAGAAAAAATAAAGTACCATATTCAATAGCAACAATGTCAGAAAAAAACTTTTTAGAAAGAAAAAATAACGTACCATGTTCAATAGCATTAACTCTTCGGTTGGTGATTTTAATGACTTCATCAAGGGTGATAAAAGATGTCTGTAGTGAGGCCAACTCAACAAGAAGAGTTATAGCTCTACCATAACACTTTTTAGCTTTATCAATCTGCTGACCTCCCCTTGCTAGACCAGTTAACTCGTATGCTAATTGAAAATTAAAATTGCACTTAATAAAACACTCCATATGACACAAGAATTAGCATAACACAACAAGCACTAAACTCACTGTCACTGCCATCCTGGTAAGGTTCAAACATTGGAAGGGTCACACCTGAAAATGAGTGCAGATCAGACATAAGTCATAGTGTAAAGTATCAATGCTAATCTAACATACTAGTAGTTTGGGTTTAAAATGTGCATATAGGGTGGTGGTAAAAGTCAGATTATATAGCTGGGACTTACCTACTACATTTTCTTTTTTACTTTTGACCTTTATAGAAGCCTTAGTGACGTTTTGTAAAATAACGTGACTGATGTCACCACATGTAAATTTGGCCTCAGCCAAAGAAAACTGTGCAGCTTTCATCACTTCTCCAACTTCTGTCTTCGTCTAAAACAAATTTCCAGAATAGCTGTTGTAATTATATAGTTTAAGTTTCTGTTTGCTAAATTTAAATAACAATATTTAACCACCTTAACATTTTTTTGTGTATTATAATTTGTTGTATATTAACTTAAGAAACCACTACTTATTTAAACTAGTCTTTGAAAACAACTCGCTGTCATTACCTCAATGATTTTTCTAAGAATTGCTCGAAACCTTAGGGTCAAAGCATCAGCTTTCTTCTTCAGCAAACTATGGCCTTTCTGAGCTCCTTTAAGCCTGGCCTTTATTATAGCCAAAGCCCTTTCAAAAAATAGTAAATGACAAACATAGTCATCAAAATTGATAATTATAAAATTAAAATAACACTTTTAACACCTGTACTTTTAATATATTAAACTATATAATAAGAAAAAAATCTTAGTTCAGAAGTTCTTATCTATCTATGGATGTGTGTTTGTCTCAGGGTGTGTTTGGGGAGTTGGTGAGAATACACCTGGGAAGGTTTAGTGAAAAGAATTTTAAGGGGGGTGCTGCAGCAGGATGCAATTTGGATACTGGGCTCCCTTATTAGCATTTTTTTTACTATATAATAATTCACTATGCATTCCCCCATGAGAACCAGGGGTGTCTACCCCACTACTGCTGAGGGCAACAAACTGACACTCAAGTGTGGGTGTCTGAACAGTAGCATGGACAGACCCACACAATAACAATTAAGTTCCAAGAAATATACCGCCAACATTGTTTGCATGCATATGTTATTTCCAAATATATTTATATAATAACTTTAAAAATAGCACAACAGGAAAAAATTCTTTGTCTGATGTAGGTCATAACTTTCTTAATTTAAATGGAAGGAAGTGGTTTACTGTGTTTTGACCATGTTATTCTTTTTTCCTGCTTAATAGCTTTAAAAAACAAGCAAATTTGACTTTCACCTGCATTTTTGGTCGTGGTAGCCTATATTATGAATAAATAGGCCTATATTATTATAGGCCTAATATTTTTTAGACTTTTTTAGACCTATGCAATTTGAGATTACAAAAAATTCAAATTTAATCTACTACCTATGCCTAATTATACTAATAATTATAATTATACTAATAAATTAATAAAAATTAGTACTGTTGGATTGTATTTTTTAAGCTCTACAATTAGGATGCTATAAAGTAAAGTAAAAAAAATAAGGCTGATGCTAGTAGGAATAAGATACGCATGCGCAATGGAGAGAAACTACGACTTGCCTTCGCGGCAATGTTTTAGATGCTACTGCGCATGCATGTTTACAACCGCAGAACCCTAATACCAACCCTAATCCTATCCCTAACCCTGTCCCTAATCCTATTGCTAACCCTAACCCTAGCCATAGGTCACTGCGCAGAGCTATCTTTTGCCGACTAAGTGGAGACGTTGGGGAGAAAAATCATCTTCGAACAAATAATTCCTAATTTACGGGCTTGAAGAGTTAGGCTTTTGAATAGCCTAGGCCCTATCTAAATAATAATAATATTAGATAAAATCTAGAGTTCTAATAGCTAGGCCAATGCAAAAATTTAATTTCAGTAAAACAATATAATAGTTACATATTTGGATAGGGGCTGTCAATCTGATTACAGATCAGTTTAAATTTTCAAAATCTGACCATAAACAAAAAAGTTATGAATTTTTTTGTCATTAAAAAATAGCAGTTTTTTCAGACAACCGGGGTAGACCCTGAAAGAGGAAAAATACTGGGAGGGTATGGACCAAATTTTAAAGAGTTTTTCACTAAAAGTGGTATTAAAGCAAGCAAACTTCATCAATAGATGTCATGTTATGGTATTTTATAGATTTTTGTATGCCGAATCCAATGATGCTATTTTAAAAAGTGTCCTTCGATTACATAATCGACTGATCTCATAGATTATGTAATACCCCCCCTTTCTATTTTTTTAAAACATCTAATAATCAATGTGATAAGAAGTCATTGTTTAAATGTAACACTGTTTTAATCTATAATATGACATTTATATATGCTGAAGCTAATGGTAGTATTTAAAATGGTCCAACATTGTTACATAACTGACATTTATATATGCTGAAGCTAATGGTAGTATTTAAAATGGTCCAACATTGTTACATAACTATCAAATGTTAAGGTTATGTAATACCACCCTTTGCTCAAAATATACCATTAATTAGTTTTGAAATCACTTTTGCTCATTGTCAGTTAACTTCAAGTTAATAGCCTACTAAAAGAAAATATAACTAATCAAGTTTTACAATACAGAGAGAAGAATGCTATTACAATAGTAAATTTGTGATTATGTAACTTCTTAAAAGATGTTATGTAATCTATGTCCAATACTTTAGGCCTACTCTATTCCAAAATTTAGGCCTATTTCATTATAATTATATTTCTTGTTATTTTGCCATAAAATTAGTCTAGTCACAAATGTGTCTGATCAGAATCAGAGTGTGCTTTATGATAATTACGTAATATTATTACCCATATTAAAATTATTCCTTTTTACAATTTCAATAAAATATTTTTTGGAGGAAAATTTTTTTTTTAAAACTTGCACAAGGTATAGATCTAGTGTAAGTTATAGGTCTATAACATAAATTATATTTAAGCCCAATGTTTATGCTAGTAGTAAGTAGGCTTATGTATTTTTGTAGGTCTACCAGTAGGCCTTTTACAATTAAAAACTTTCTTAAGAAAAAAGCATGTGTTTGAGTGCTTGACTGTGTAGATTCTAGAAATTGTGTAAGATTACGGTGTGTGCCTATACACATTTGTGTACCACCACAAGCTTTTGCCTAGATTTTGTTTAATCTGACTAGCCAGATCTTCTGACCAACGAATTTTATTGCCCTATTACGTTAACACAACCGCTGGATAGGCTAGTCGGCCAACCCGATGAACGTGTCAGACGAATATTATGTACTTTCAGAGGCAAAAGTCTGGCAAGATTTCTTGATCTATGCCCGAGGGTTAGTAACATCAATTCCACAAAGTGAAGGGGGAGGTAGGTGGGGTATGAATCCACCACGAACTGAGTAGGTACCGTACGGGTGTTGTACAACATCAAAGGCGACGACCGTTGGCTCGTCGCGTCACGGACTAGTGGGGGCGGGGTGAGGCTTACGTAGGCTATGGGTGTTACGTTGGGTGTTATACAGAATGCCCACCCACACCCACCCCATCCCTTTTTGGTCAATTTGGCAGGCTAGTATCCTCCACGTTGTTAAGCGTATGTAAGTGTGTAGTGAAAAAAAAAGGGGGACCGGGAAAAAAATTAAAGCCGTTTTTATGAAAAAGAAATGCTCTAATTTTAAATGAAATTAGGGTGCGCGAAACGCAGAATTGTTATAATCGGACAGTAACCATCTGGATTAATTTTAAAAACAAGATAAATTTGAAACCTGAGCCGTAAATATTAATAAGACTTTTCCCCCTTTAAATGGGTAAGGACAAAATTATGAAACATGCCTATCGGCTTATAGATCTAATCTATATAAAATAGAAATAGCCGTCGAGTATAACACGGGAACACATGTAGGCCTATCTATCTTTAGAAATTGTTTACAGTATCATCCAATCGGATCGACCGCTTAGCGTCACGTGACCAGGCATTCGGATGTGCCACACGGTGTGTAGATCGACACAGCAGAGCAAACAGTCGGACAGCGGTCGGCGCGTTAATTTTAATTTTTGCTCCATTTTAAAATGTATGGGCGGCTTTATTTGGGGGTAGGCCTATTGTAGAGAAAATCAAACATATAAATAAACGTCCAGAGTTCAGCAATACAGCGCAGGGTTCAAATTAAAAATCGGTCTATAAATAACCCGGGAAACTTGGTTCAACTTTGCTGTACGATATCTCCGAAAGTATTTAATATTTTGACGACTAACCCTGCGCTGTATACGTCTACATCTAATCTGTATTTCTGCCAAGTTTCACTGTTGTAGTATGTAAACTCAATTCGTGTATAAGAATTTTGTAACGCGTCGTCTGTTTAAAGAGGGCGATTCGAAGCACAGCTGAGCGATTCAGTCGGCCAGCGGTCGGCGCGTTATGTTTTGATTTTCGGTCCACTTCAAAGGCTATAGACGTCTCTATCTTAGGGCATTATAGTACATATCATACATATTAATAAACGTCCAGATTTCAGCAATACAGCGCAGGGTTCAAATTAAAAATCGGTCTATAAATAACCCTGGAAACTTGGTTCAACTTTGCTGTACGATATCTCCGAAAGTATTTAATATATTTTGACGACTAACCCTGCGCTGTATACGTATACATCTAATCTGTATTTCTGCCAAGTTTCACTGTTGAATGGCGAAAACTCGAAGAGTCTATAGACTCAAAGTAGCACCCCTGTTTTAAAAAGGCGAAAAAGCCTCCCCCCTAATCGGCACGTCGCCGCGGAGGGTAAAAAATGCGATTTAATCGGCGATTTCTTCAACGTTTGAAATCATATTAAAATCAAAATTATACAGTTTAAAAGGTTATTCAATTACGAACAAAATGGTGTATAACATGTTAATATAAACACAATAAAATCATGCAAAAAACAGAGTTAAACATGCAGGGGGTAGGGAAAAGCCGATTTGTCCGATTTTCTCGGCAGCGGCTTTGGCCTAGCTAGTTCTAAGCCCTCCTGCAAATAAAACATTATTATTTAGAAAATTTCATCATAGCTTCAAATAGGGCCTAGATCTAATAATTTGTCAAATTTGTTTATTAAAATAATTTGATGTCAATTTGATGAAAAAAATTACTTGAACTTGAAATTGACTGAAATTGAGATCCAGAATATTTTTTTTTAAATAGGGTAGCTAGGCCCTAATTACCACAATACTAGTAATATATATTGTTTAATTATAGATCTAGCATCTAATAATCACACTAATCAAAAAGTAATTTAAAAATTTAACTTACATACGAGACGGGAAAACGTTTAATTTATCCTTGTCAGACATTTTTCAATAAGCAATTATTTAATCATGTGATACTGAGTGATGTACCTTGGCGGAAGTGAAAACATGTGATCTTTTAGAAGTAGAGAGGTCGATAGTTACTAAAATTAAAAACGGATGTTTGCATGTCCATAGTAACACCAAAGGCAGTCAAAGTAGCCAAAAGAAAAATAGTATTACTATATTGCGTTGGTAGGTGGTATTTTGTCCTAGACTCTTGATCTATATTATTTCTAAAAATTCAATTAGGTTTTTGTAAAATCAAAAAATGATTTAAAAAAAAATTTAAACCTAGATTTCTAAATTGATGACTAAACTAGTTTAAAACTAAATCAAATTTATTTCCCTATATTATATGCTGGCAAAGAATTCTAGAATTTTCATACATTGATAAAGTGCAAGTAGGTAAAACAAAGCTATTTTAAATAATACCTTAAGCTATTTTATACTCTAACTGTACACTAATTATGATTTTAATTAATAATAGTTTAGAAACAAATCCTGTAAGTCCTCATTATATTTTCCTTTTTGTTTTCATTAAGGTTTCCGTTATTTTTTGCCTTTATGTTTACATTTGTGTTTGCATTAACATTTCTTTTTACATTACTGTTTGTGGGTTATTGATTTTTAGTTATTGTTTGCGTTTATGTTTATATTCTTAAACCCTAAACCATGCTGCTGAATGAGCACAATAGTCACAGCACTTTACAGATAAGTTTATCTCAAATGCCAGTACAGGGTACATGAATCACAGTGTTTCTTCCAGACTTTTTTCTCCGGGGGGGGGGGGGGGCACTTGATATTTTCGGGGGGGGGGGGGGGGGGGGGGCGGACAACATTTTTCGGGGGGGGGGGGGGGGGGCAGCGGCGGACACTAGTACAAGTGTATGTTTACTATATAAAATCCATCTCGTTCGGGGGGAGGGGGGGGGGGGGGTTAGCCACCCCCCCCCCCTCCCCCCGAAAAGATGCCTGGAAGAAACTCTGATGAATGAGCATAATAGTCACAGCACTTTACAGATAAGTTTATCTCAAATGCCAGTACAGGGTCTGGTTGATATGGCTAGTATAATATTTATTAATAATATTATCTAGATTCTAGGCCTATATTTATTACAAACCTAACTGCTTGGTTTTAGTCAGACTTTACTAAAAAGTGGATGTATTTGATGTCTTAGTAATTTTCAGGAACTAAACAAAATTTTGAAAAAAGCTAAAATAATTTAGTTATTTTCATTTCATTTAGTCATTGAAAATTTACATAAACAATTAAACACGGCATAACTACTATGTGGTTTTAAAAAAGTATATTTTGATTGAAAATTTGTAATCAATGCTTGTCTTAAGAAAATTTAGACTTGGAAATAAATAGAAAAGTAGCCGTAAACAAAGAAAATTAGTTTCAAGTTAAGCACATTTGCAACTTTTATATGATTGATTCTTAAAATATGAAATTTAAAAAAAAAATTTCAAGCTAATGTTAAAAAATAAAATGTTATTAACGCTACGAGTATGAAGGCAAATTTGACAAAAATACAATGTCAATAATAATAGTGGAAGGATTTTATCAACATGTTGATGTCCTTTAGTCATAAGGCTATTATTTGAAATTGGATGCAGTTGTGAATCGTCTTGGACAATTTATTAAATATTTTTACAAATTGGGTGCAATGCTATAAAAATAAGTGTGGTTATAAATAACTTTATTGTGAGGTAAATTCAATTTGATGTTTTTAGTATTTTTGGTAACTAAACAAAATGTTTTAAAAAGCTAAAGACAATTTGATTGTTTTCATTTTATCACTGGAAATGTAAATAAACTTGGCATTACTTGGCAATGTGATTTTATAGAGTATAAATTTTTGTAAAAAAATCTTATCTGCAAAGTTTTGAGTACAAATTGCTACAAAGTGGGGTTCACAGAATATCAATCATGGAGTTTCTGTACAGCCAATCAATGCTGGTCTTACAAAACTGATACTCAGAGTTTCTTCGAGGCATCTCTTCGGGGGGGGGGGGGGGGGGGGCAAAGTCTTGATATAAAGTTTTTATCCATGTTAAAAATAATGGTGGAACCATTTTGTTAACTCTGTTAACTCGATTGCCTTCATTAGGGCTTATGACAAAGGCTTAGGGCGGCCTTAAATTAAATAGGCTATCTATATTTTAATAATATATTATTAATTTGCCTATTTATATAGGCTTATAAGTTATATCATACAGACTTGTGAAAATAGAATAATAATATTTATAGCCTAATTATATAATTAGGCCTTTATCCAATGCTAAATAATAATATTAAGATTAAATAATTTTAGCAACTGTTTTTATCTTCTAATAGAAAATGGCAGAACTTACTGAAGAAGTTGGTATAGAAAAAAGGAAAAGTAGAATCAACAGCTCTATTGCAGTTGGTGGAAAATTGCTCACTCCTGCACCAACATCACCCAGATCAACCCGAAGCCCAGCTGAAATTAAAAAGCCATTGGATGATATTTTACCAGAGGAAATTGTCCCTGACAGAGTAGGTGACTGGCGGAATATGAGAAGAATTATAGCAGAAGACCCGGAGTGGTCTTTGGCAACAGTCCCACTCTTAAATGAGCTTGTTATTAAGCAAATTGTGAAAAATTTTGAAAGTAAGTCAAACTTTTGAATTTTGAAACATTATAATTTTAAGTCAGGACGAGTATTAATTTTCCAAATGAATAATTAAAATAGATTCTTAGGTAGTATTTTATAGTATCTTATATGTCTTAACTCTAATGCAGAGGCGTATCCAGGTTTTTGTTGTAGGGGGAGCGAAATGAGCAAAAAAAGGCGCCGAATTTTTAACAAGTTCTATATACGTGTATTATATATATATATATATATATATATATATATATATATATATATATATATATATATATATATATATATATATATATATATATATATATATATACACTACAACCAAAAACAATAAACGCAACACAATCTGTTTTGTAATTCTTGTAAAAAAATTTTTTACATAATTCCTGGGACATTAATTAAGACAAGCGAAATAGTGGAAATAATCACGCACTTAATATAAATATGTATATATCTACATATTTAATTATAAATGTCAAAACAAATCAAATTACTTTAGAATGTAATATAGTTGTTTAACAGTATTTGTGTTTTTAAATTTTATTTTGTCTACAATCAGAATTAAATATATCGTCATCATAAATGCTAAAGTATTACAGCATAGAGAAGGTTTTTTAAATCAGAGTTGTTATAAAAACACGCTTTATATATTATAGTAAAAAAATCCGGAATAATAGCTTACAATTACTAAATTATCTGTCTTTTAGTTCAGATCACACATCTTTTAATTAACTACTGCTTTTTGTGTTCTTTAAAGATAATTTTTTAACAATATAGTGATCAGGTATGGGTTAGATCACTGTATTGATCAAACACCTTTTTACTGGTAATTGCAAAAACAATATTCACTGAGTTTTACCTGATTCAAAAGCTATGATTCTGGCGGCATGGTACTTTGGTACATCGTTATGCGGTTTCCCAAATGTACTTAACGTATCAGTTCGGGGTGGGTTGGGGGGGGGGTGTTCAACTTCATTCATCACTGTCCGGTCACTTTAGGTCAATTATCCAACCCAGTGTATACCTAGGTGTGACATTAATGTCGCTCTACACCAGGGGTCTCCAAACTACGGCCCGCGGGCCGCATGCGGCCCGCAAGGTCCCCTCATCCGGCCCGCGGAGATCGTTTTGACCACGGAAAAAATGTTTGTTGGAGGTGGCTGAGGAACTTTGCCCAGAAAGTTCAAAACGATTTGAAAATGTAGCTTTAGGTGCAAATACCATTGCCCGCAGTGTTGCTGACATTGATGAAAACATTGTGACTCAAACATTGAAAAATTCATGCAAGTTTCACCATTTTTCAATTGCAATGGATGAGTCGCTGAAATTTATATATATTTCTATATAGTTTATATTTCGTTGGGGGGGGGGGGGGGAAGAAGGGGTATATGTTCTTCGGTGGGGAGGGGGGGGGGGCTCCGCCACCCCAAAGAGATGCCTCGAAGAAACTGGCCCTCGAACTGACATTTGATAGTTAATGCGGCCCTCGGGCTGAAAAGTTTGGAGACCCCTGCTCTACACAATTGTGGTGAGGTGTGTGTGTGTGTGTGTGTGTGTGTGTGTGTGTGAACAGAGTGAACATAGCGTCAGTTTTTAGATGACTGTTCTAAACATACATATTCAATTGCACATATATCCTGATTCAGAAATAGATTTAAATAAGTAGCAGTGGTATTATGGCACTATTTTTTTTACAGAGGGATCCATGGGGAGAGGGGGGTTGTAATTGTTTCATATAATTTGTAATCGTAATCACTATCGCCCAAACTTTCATAATACTACTACTTCATCGTGATGACGTTGTTGACCTTGTCAAAATGGCACCACTACTACGCAGTTTGCCCATAAGTAAATTTAAATAGAGGTGCCACATCAGTTGTATTTGTGTCTGTATTGTAATTTTTTAAAAATTAATTACACGATTAAAACTGTATATATAAAGTAATTATGTGTGAAGATTTATGTATAATATTTTCTAGATCAATTATTCTTAAGCAAATACATTATACAGTTGCCTTAAACTTAACACCCCTCTTGCCAAGTGGTACTACACGTAGAGGTTATTTAAAATTGCAATGCATCGTAATGGTTATTTTTAGATTGACAAACTTGATACAGCTGATAATACGTGTTGTAAACGTAGACGCTACTAGAATAGTGCAATTCTGCTTAGTTGCTGCATGAAAAGAAATCTTGTGATTTACATAGATATGCTGACCAAAAATAATTTTTAATAAAAATCATTGTTTAAAACTTTGAGTTTAAAAAGTTTCCAAAAAGGCGCCACTTTACTGAAAATGGCCAGAGGGGGAGCTGCCGCTTCCCCTGCTCCCCCCCTGCGTACGCTACTGCTCTAATGGTATTAGATGTAAATAAAATATAATTAACTTATTTCATGCTTAAATTGATTTTTTAAATTATTTTTATTCAGATAAGTCAGATATTTTAAAAGATCTGCTGACAAAACATCAGAAGAAAGTGCTGTCTCAAATTTCTACTGATTTACCTCTAAAAGTCACAGCATTACTAATAGATGATGAAGGATTCTGGGAAAGATGTTGCAGAGCACGGTGGGAACTTTGTGAAATATCCAGCTATGGGAACAGCTGGAAAAGAATGTACTTTGAGAAAAATCTTCAACAAATAATAGAACTCTTTGTACCTGAAAAATCAGACAGTGATGAACTAGAAGACACCATTGCACTTTCTACCAATTTTATTCGGAAACTTGAGATCAAGCAACTCCTTCCTCCTCTTGCCTCAGTGTCCAAAGGTCCAGATTTTGATGAGAATTCAGATGCAGCCAGTGATACAGGGGATGAGTTGGAGAGTGATCATTTCAATTTTGGCCCAGTTTTAAAAAGATTACCTTTTCTTGAAGAGTTTCATTTAACGTATGGTGTACGTGATTGTGGAATGAACTTTGAGTGGAGCTTGTTTCAGTTCACAGCAAAAGACTGTCTGCAGCTTTCAGAATGTATTGCTGCTTTACCAAATCTAAAAGTTTTCAGACTTCACAGAAGCAAAGTAGATGACGAAAAGGTTTGTTCCATTCTTGTGTTTTTCTAATTATTAATGTTAATTTATACGGTAATGATAAAATATTTTTGTAAATTGTTTTTTAGAAATTATATTTAAATATTAGAGAAAATATTGGTTTTAATTTTTAAAGAGAACTGGTTCAGTACATTTTTATTTTCTTTGGAATACCACCTATATTGAGAAGACTAGCTTTTGTGAACATAGTGAGGTAACTCAGAAGCGTAGGAAGAGGGGGGGGGGGGAACTGATATTGAGCGCTAAAAAAATATTTGTTTCCACCCCAGGCCAGAGTCCTCATTAGTCACATACTGGATCACCCGGGACTCATTGAGTTGGATTTGTCACACAACATCATTGGAGATCGAGGTGCTCGTGCCATTGGTAAATTTCTCAACAATCACAGCCAGCTGGTCAAACTCAACTTGTGCAACAATCAGATCAGAGTGGCTGGGGCTCAAGCCATTGCACATGCATTAACTAAGAATAACTTGCTACAGGTGAGGTTTGTTTCACTTGCTACAGGTGAGGTTTGTTTCACTTGCTACAGGTGAGGTTTGTTTCACTTGCTACAGGTGAGGTTTGTTTCACTTGCTACAGGTGAGGTTTGTTTCACTTGCTACAGGTGAGGGCTAGGGCTGTTTCACTTGCTACAGGTGAGGTTTGTTTCACTTGCTACAGGTGAGGTTTGTTTCACTTGCTACAGGTGAGGTTTGTTTCACTTGCTACAGGTGAGGTTTGTTTCACTTGCTACAGGTGAGGTTTGTTTCACTTGCTACAGGTGAGGTTTGTTTCACTTGCTACAGGTGAGGGCTAGGGCTGTTTCACTTGCTACAGGTGAGGGCTAGGGCTGTTTCACTTGCTACAGGTGAGGGCTAGGGCTAGGGTTGTTTCACTTGCTACAGGTGAGGTTTGTTTCACTTGCTACAGGTGAGGTTTGTTTCACTTGCTACAGGTGAGGTTTGTTTCACTTGCTACAGGTGAGGGCTAGGGCTGTTTCACTTGCTACAGGTGAGGGCTAGGGCTGTTTCACTTGCTACAGGTGAGGGCTAGGGCTAGGGTTGTTTCACTTGCTACAGGTGAGGGCTAGGGTTGTTTCACTTGCTACAGGTGAGGGCTAGGGCTAGGGTTGTTTCAATTGCTACAGGTGAGGGCTAGGGCTGTTTCACTTGCTACAGGTGAGGGCTAGGGCTAGGGTTGTTTCACTTGCTACAGGTGAGGGCTAGGGTTGTTTCACTTGCTACAGGTGAGGGCTAGGGTTGTTTCACTTGCTACAGGTGAGGGCTAGGGTTGTTTCACTTGCTACAGGTGAGGGCTAGGGTTGTTTCACTTGCTACAGGTGAGGGCTAGGGCTAGGGTTGTTTCACTTGTTTGGAGTGAAAGTTTTAATGTCAGATGAAGAAAGTCAACTAAAAACATGTAATTATGGACCAATTGTCTTTAAAAACTGTAATATTAAGTTGCTATCACATTTTGCCTATGCATGAATTGAATCCATTTCAATGAAGCTATATTATCTATTTTTAGAAAAAATTAAATTAACTTTAAGGAAGACATTACCTTGTAATCTATAATTTTATTTCTAGCTATATCAAGGTAATAAATCTATTTATTCACTATTTTCTTTGCCATATTTAAATGTATATCAAGGTAAAAAAAAACAATGTATATTGTCTTTTCAGTATTTAAATCTTCGTTTGAATCGCTTAGGAGATGAAGGTGGCCAAGCAATCTGCAGAGCTCTTACCAAAAACAGAACTCTAGTTGACATCAATTTGAGTTCCAATGAACTGGCAGAGCCCACAGCTGCCATTTTATCTCAAGTTGTGATTCAAAATCCAATCATTCGAACATTAGATCTCTCTTGTAACCGACTTGGGCCAGTAAGTTCCTCAATTCCTCAAACAAGTTCCTCAAACAAGTTCCTCAATTCCTCAAACAAGTTCCTCAAACATTTCTTCACAGTTAATTAGGGAATTAAAGAAAAACAAAACAGTTGCATTCATTAAAAAGTTGATCATTATTTTCCTAATTTACCAAATATTACAAATCATTGTGATATTGCATATTATTCCATTAATGTTCATACTATTGGGGGAAAACATCTATTTTTATAAGCAAAAATGGAATTTTTAAAAATTAGTCAAGTAAATTAAGAGAATTCTCTAATAGTTCCAACTCCATTGAACAATCAGGTTCAAGTACACAGTTGAGTTTACATTTAGATCTAGATAGGATTTACTAGTGGTCTAGAAACTGGCCAGAAATATCTAATAGTTGATAGAATGAAAGTAGGATGGGGGCAAGATAATTCTGGATAACTTAGGTCATCCAGAATTATCTTGAATAATTATGTAACTAGAATTTTAGATTTTTAAAAATCTTTATTCTAATGAAAGCAAAACTACTTTGCTTTCATTGATAAAAGTATTGGTTGCTCGTGAAATCTCCTATACATTTTGTTGCCAAGGCTTTAATAAAAGAAAGAAATTGAGTTTTTTTTCAGGATATTTTCTTATTGTTGAGTGTTGTGACATTGCTCATTGCACAGTTCTAGTATTGGTCAATCTTGTCATGTCCAGTATCCACACATTTCTTCCCTATTTGGTCAATCTTGTCATGTCCACACAATTCTTATATATTGGTCAATCTTGTCATGTCCACACAATTCTTATATATTGGTCAATCTTGTCATGTCCACACAATTCTTATATTGGTCAATCTTGTCATGTCCACACAATTCTTATATATTGGTCAATCTTGTCATGTCCACACAATTCTTATATACTGGTCAATCTTGTCATGTCCACACAATTCTTATATATTGGTCAATCTTGTCATGTCCACTGTCCACACATTCCTTCCCTATTTGGTCAATCTTGTCATGTCCACACAATTCTTATATATTGGTCAATCTTGTCATGTCCACTGTCCACACATTTCTTCCCTATTTGGTCAATCTTGTCATGTCCAAATATAGATTATATAGATATATAATTTTATATAGATATATTTATATATTATAAAATAAATATATTTATTACTTTATGTTACTATGACTTGCATATTTACCTATATATTTTGAGATGAGCACATTTGCAATTCATTATGTGTATATTTATATATTAGGTATATATTTATATACATATAATAGCCGTCGATACCCGTGAATTACAGGCCTATATATTTTTAATGTTATAGGTATTTGGAAAAAAATGATTTATTAAATAGATATTGGTCAAAACGCATTTCTACACATTGAGATATTAGTGACAAAGAAAAGAAATAACTAAATAGCTAAAAATCCAGCATATTTAAAATTACAAAGGCTGCCAATACTTATTAGAAAAACCAAATTCTATACATTATTATTCAACACAACACCATATTAAATGCCCACACTGATCAACAGACTTAAATGAATCCATTAAAACCTGGCTGTTCAATGGTATTTATGTTGTTTTTTAAAGTAATTTGTATTACTTTTAGCTGAGAAAATTGTATAAATTTCATTGCTTACATCTTGATAAGTAGATCTATAGATCTTAATCAAATTTGAATAAAATAGTTTATTACTTCATTTTCTAAATTTGGAAGATGACACCATTAGTTTTGTGTACTTACCGTAGTTTAACATGAACGCAAAAAACAATGTCACATGCCACAACAATAAACACTTTTCCGGCTGCATAGTGAAAAATGGGTTTCTACATTTGAATATTCATTTATTTTTATTTACCTTCTTTAAATTAAATTTAGTTTATACATTTATAACATCCACCATATCTTTAAGCTATCCATATATTGCTGAACATACTGATCATATTGCTCAAAAATGTTGCTGACAGAGAGAGAGAGACAGAGAGAAGTGCACTCATGGGCTTTTATATATTAGGATGTCTGTATATATAACTATATATTTATATATATATATATATATAGTTGTATTTGATGTAGCCGATAAAGATATTTTCTTTGAAACTGTAGGATGGAGGCAAGCAGCTGCAAGAAGGCATGGAAGAAAATAAGACAATAACCTCCATGGATCTTCGGCTGACAGAATGTGGACAAGAGGCTGAGTACTGCATCAATCAGGTTTTACACAGAAATCAAGAAGCTGACAGAGAGCAGCGTATAAAAGATAGTCAAAGTATTAATGAAGAATTCCGCAAGAAAAGTACTGAACCACAGGCCGCTCATCGTTTCCAGCTTCCTCCTGCTGCTGTCATTGCATGAAACACCATTGCTACCATAACGCATCAAATTATAGCATTGCCAATATAAATATCTGCAGTTATTGATTAGGGCAGATTGCATGAAAGTGTAAAGTATTACCATTAAAATATCTGCGGTTATTGATTAGTGTTGCTGAAAGACTGCATGAAAGTTATTTTAAATTTCCATGAAAGAAAAGAAAAAGATGGATGCAGACATTTTTTTAATGAGGGTTGTGTTTTTTTATTAGCATCAATAAAATTAATCTTATTAAAACTTTAAAAAAATTGGTTTGCTTTTGAAATGTGGTATTTTATATAAAAAGACATGCTACTAAACAGTCAAGAATGGAGTGAATGAGTGGGACATGAAAAAGTACTGTAACCCTCTTAGGATAAAGCTTTATTAATGACCGAGCCGTTATTTTAAAAATAAGCTAATTATTTTATATTTATAATTTAATGAGCTTATGAACTTCAATAAATCAAATAAAAATCTTAAAAATATAAATGAGCTTCCTGATGAAATTTTGTTTTTTTTATTTGAAACAGTACTCAAGTTATAGGCTTTTGAAAAATCAAAAGTAGAATAAATTCCACTTCCGGTTACCGGAAATTGCTGAAAAGTTTATGATATAATATTTATATTTCATCAATCTAGCTGTAACGGTGCTTAAGTTATCGTGTTCACAGACATACACATACAAAATCTATGATTTTTCAACTAAGGGAGGTGTACAATGTCGAGATTTGTAATTTTGCACAATTACAATACTTCCTCTATACTTCATATACGAGAAAGTAAAAAAAAAAAACTACGGCAACTTTGAATAGTCTGACTTTAAATCCCAGGATTTACTTCAATAGTGTAAAGCAATTGGATTGGCTGATATGAAGACTGGAAAGCCAATGGTGTGTCTTGTACTATCATGGACAATGTCAGACAACATTTGGCTGATAGTAGTGGTAGGTTGGCCTAGTTCATTGTAAATTTTTTATGCTCTCTGTAGTCTTAAACTCATCCTGCAAACCATTTCTTTCATCACTGTAAATCTAACTACTATAAACACATTGAACACACACATACAACTTAATCCAATTTACTGCAAAATTTTATTAAATTGTTTTTTATATAGAAGATTTATAAAATCAGCATTTTGTTACAAATTGATTATCAAATCATCAAACAAAGCTGTGTTGCTTTTAAATGGTAGATGTGAGATTGCGTATGAAGGGAAGAGGTGGTCCTTGCAGAACTTTGCGAGAAATACGGTGGGTGCCTGTTGCTGGGTCTCTACCAAAATATTTGACGGTTATTTCATGACCTACATCCATCCCAAGTGTGCTGGCATGTGAAACCTGGAAAATAAATGGCCAATTTTACTTTACATCTTACGTGACTTTACATCTTACGTGACTTTACATCTTACAATGTGACTTGACATCTTACAATGTGACTTTACATCATACAATGTGACTTTACATCATACAATGTGACTTTACATCTTACAATGTGACTTTACATCTTACAATGTGACTTCACATCTTACAACGTGACTTGACATCTTACAATGTGACTTTACATCTTACAACGTGACTTGACATCTTACAATGTGACTTTACATCTTACAACGTGACTTTACATCATACAACGTGACTTGACATCTTACAACGTGACTTTACATCTTACAATCGAAGTGATTTTACAGCTGACATTTGTAAAGTCATTTGACATCAATAAATAGTAAGAAGCTACTTACCTTTCTCTGGTCCAGTTGGGTGTTATGTAATAGAATGGGCTTTAACTTAGGATGGAGTTCAACCATAACACCAGTGTCCCTATTATGGAAAGAGGGGAATTAACTTTATATACAGCTTGATCATAATACTAGAGTAGCTCTGTATAGAAAATAAATTGCAGGTGGTATTTACACATTGCAGGTGGTATTTACACGGTTTTACAATGATTTAAAAAAAAAGTTGAAGGTTTAGAGAACAAAAGCAAACTTTCTAGGCAGTTGGCATGATTTACCTGATTTCAACTATTTTGCCTGTGTAGATTGCACCGAATTCTAGATCTGGTTCTTTCTAATTGATGTAACAAATGGAAGTGACATGGTTAGATCCAAATCAATTTATTTTTGGCTTGTTCTAAAAAAAATATACCTGTCCTTTTTCTGAATAGTTTTATACATCCAAAGACTTAGGACAATCTCAATTAGCTATTGTTCATACTATGATGTTTACTATTGGCCAAGACTACTGATATCAAAACCAATGTAAACTCACAGTGACCCCCTTAACATGTTGGTATTTTTCCCATGATGTTAAAAAGTAGAATATTAAAAAAACAAAACAAATCTAGACAAAGGAAAGTCCCAAAAAAAAAGGGCTAGCCCTGGTATCCCAGGATAACTGAGAAATCAATATCACGGGATAAGTAATAAATCAATATCACGGGATAAGTGAGAAATCAATATCACGGGATAAGTAAGAAATCAATATCACGGGATAAGTAATAAATCAATATCACAGGATAAGTGAGAAATCAATATCACAGGATAAGTGAGAAATCAAAATCACGGGATAAGTGAGAAATCAATATCACAGGATAAGTGAGAAATCAATATCACAGGATAAGTGAGAAATTAATATCACAGGATAAGTGAGAAATCAATATCACAGGATAAGTGAGAAAATAACACATGTAACAAGGCCCACTGGTGAAAGAATGTTTAATTGTTTGTAAGAAAATGTTTAATTGATTGTAAGAAAATGTTTAATTGATTGTAAAAAATGTTTAATTGATTGTATATGTTAATATTGTAAGTGAAGTATAAAAAAAACTAGATTCTTGTTCTATGACCTAGATGGTCTCTGAAGATACCTCCTTTTCCAGGATATTTTCTATCATTTCTTTGGCCTCTGTCATAGCCTCTATGTTTGGTGCAAATACTTGAAAGCTTTTCTCATCTATTCTAGTCATAGTCACACCTGAAACAAAATTATTTCAAACCAACAGAACATGGTCAGTTACTATTTCATCAGATACAAATTAAAGCTTGATTTAATTAAGTTCTTAATTGTTTACCACAATTTGTAACTACTTAAGCCTACTTTTATCTAAGTGTGTTTTAGCCTACTTCTGTTATAAAGTGTGTTTTAGCCTACTTCTATCTGTTATAAATGTTAGATACTAGTGACATTAGGATCAAGTTCAGTTGTTACACAATCACTGGCTGGAGGGGGGTGGGGGAAGAGAGAGAAGAGGCTTGTCCACTCAAGGATTAGACAGAAAACATTTTGGCTACATTCTTTTCTATTCACTAAGGTTACCTACTCAATGCTTGACTTGATTATTTTATGCTATTGTCTTATCAAAAATAGCTTCTATATTACATCTGACAATTGATTCCGCAGATTTCTTATTACCTGTCTCTGATTTGATTTTTTTCAGGTTGTATCCCCCAATGCCAGCTAGCTTCATCTGTTTGTAATGGTCAAGTTCCAATTTTTCTGATCAAGTAGACAAAAACATTTGTTATCTGTTTGTAATGGTCAAGTTCCAATTTTTCTGATCAAGTAGACAAAAACATTTGTTATCTGTTTGTAATGGTCAAGTTCCAATTTTTCTGATCAAGTAGACAAAAACATTTGTTATCTGTTTGTAATGGTCAAGTTCCAATTTTTCTGATCAAGTAGACAAAAACATTTGTTATCTGTTTGTAATGGTCAAGTTCCAATTTTTCTGATCAAGTAGACAAAAACATTTGTTAACTGTTTGTAATGATCAAGTTCCAATTTTTCTGATCAAGTAGACAAAAACATTTGTTATCTGTTTGTAATGGTCAAGTTCCAATTTTTCTGATCAAGTAGACAAAAACATTTGTTATCTGTTTGTAATGGTCAAGTTCCAATTTTTCTGATCAAGTAGACAAAAACATTTGTTATCTGGAGTAGAGATCACTTTGGTATGGTAAGACACTCAATAGATGCTGCTATGTCATTCAAACCATTTGCTATGGTAATATAAAAAGTCAAAGTAAATCTAGTAGAAAAGAAATAAACCTGTAACTGGGCCACAAGGTTTCAAACTTTTGCGTGGCTGTGCGATGGTTTGAGCCATAATGTCCAGGATTTGTTTGGTGGCAGCTGGAGGAGACAGTAGGTCATCAGTACAAACACATACAATCATACAAACATACAATCATACAAACACAAACATACAATCAACATCATTCCAATACAAACATACAATCAACATCATTCCAATACAAACATACAATCAACATCATTCGTATACAAACATACTAACATACAATCAACAACATTCCTATACTAACACAAACATACAATCAACATCATTCCTATACAAACATACTAACATACAATCAACATCATTTCAATACTAACATACAATCAACATCATTTCAATACTAACATACAATCAACATCATTCCAATACAAACATACAATCAGCATCATTCCCATACAAACTTATAATCAACATCATTCTAATACAAACACAAACATACAATCAACATCATTCTAATACAAACATACAATCAACATCATTCCAATACAAACACAAACATGCTCTATTTTATCTCATTAATGGATAAAAGAAGTTTCATAAAGTATGAAATCTTGGTGACAAAAATACCAATGACAGTGTATTCAGTCTGCACTACCATTAAATATGACAGTGTATTCAGTCTGCACTACCATTAAATATGACAGTGTATTCAGTCTGCACTACCATTACATATGACAGTGTATTCAGTCTGCACTACCATTACATATGACAGTGTATTCAGTCTGCACTACCATTACATATGACAGTGTATTCAGTCTGCACTACCATTACATATGACAGTGTATTCAGTCTGCACTACCATTAAATATGACAGTGTATTCAGTCTGCACTACCATTACATATGACAGTGTATTCAGTCTGCACTACCATTACATATGACAGTGTATTCAATCTGCACTACCATTACATATAAATCTTTATTAATGATCAACTTACCAAATCCATCCTCTAAAGCTTTGACAACAATAAAGAAAGGGATCCCAGGTAATTTGATATCTGCCTGTTCAAACACAATCAAAGGCCATGTGTTTACATTTATAGAACTTTTTTATGTTAACTAACATTCAGTTGTCAAATACTAGCCTCAATCTGTCAAACACTAACCTCAATCTGTCAGCCTCAATCTGTCAAACACTAGCCTCAATCTGTCAAACACTAGCCTCAATCTGTCAAACACTAACCTCAATCTGTCAAACACTAGCCTCAATCTGTCAAACACTAACCTTAATCTGTCAAACACTAACCTGAATAGCAGTCAGACCAGAAGCCGTGGCAGCCATCTTGAAGTCCATATCACCCATATAATCCTCTATGCCCTGCAATCAAAACAGATCTGGTAAATTAAATAACTGACCACTATAAAGGTATCAACTATGCATTTTTACAAAAAAAAATGTACTATATATCTATATCTATATATATATAAATATATATCTATATCTATATAGATGTGTATATAGATGTGTATATAGATGTGTATATAGATGTGTATATAGATGTGTATATAGATGTGTATATAGATGTGTATATAGATGTGTATATAGATGTGTATATAGATGTGTATATAGATGTGTATATAGATGTGTATATAGATGTGTATATAGATGTGTATATAGATGTGTATATAGATGTGTATATATAGAGATATATATAGAGATATATATAGAGATATATATAGAGATATATATAGAGATATATATAG